CGCCCGCGACGCTCTGCTTTCTTCTGTTTCCTTCTTTATTTTTGGCACAAGTTCGCCACATTAAACGTTTATTTATTTCTGTTTATTTCTTGTTTATTGGTCACGACTCACCACCCGTGACATTCTGGTGGAGGTGCGGGGTACCGCATGCCCGTGCAGCGTTCCCCTCCCAGGACCCGCAGTGCAAGCCCGACTCCAAGCTCGCTGAGAAGACCACTCAGCGCGGAACCTGAAACTCGGACCAGCCGCCGCACCAAGGGAGAGGATCCGGAGTACGGTTTGCTCCTGGATAAACCCAAGCCGAAGAAGACGACGATGGACAACCAGTCGCAGGCCCCCGCCGCTCCTGCCGTCGTCTACCTACCCGTCGCTCCTCGGACACCGGCTCCGTTCCACGGCGAACTCCACGAAGACGTTGAAGATTGGATCGACCAGTTCGAACGCGTCGCCCGCCACAATAGCTGGACCAACGAGCAACGGCTGCAAAACGTGTATTTCTCGCTCGAGGGGACTGCCAGAAGCTGGTACGAAAATCACGAGTCTTCATTGACATCCTGGGACATTTTCAAGAGCCAGCTGAAGACGACATTTGTCAACCAGCACCGCCGAGAGAGGGCCGAAGACTTACTGCGTACCAGGACTCAAGGCCCCAACGAGAGCATCACCGGCTTCGTGGAGGATGTTCTCCGCCTAAGCGCCCGCGCCGATCCTCAGGCTACCGAGGAGAAGAAGCTGCACCACCTGATGAGGGGTGTGAAAAGCGAGATTTTCGGCGGTCTCATCCGGAATCCCCCAACAACAGTCGACGAGTTCATCACGGAGGCGACAAATATGGAACGGGCCTTGCTAGCCCGCGCCAGACACTACCAACGACACCCTGGCGTAACTACTCTAGCGACATCTGGATCCGACCTGGGCACCACCCTCCCCGACATCCGTGACCTTATCCGTGAAGCCGTCCGGGAGGAGTTGAAGAAGTTGCTACCTGCTGCCACAAGCCTGGATACGCCCTCAGTCACCGAGATTGTCCGGGAAGAACTTCAGCAGGCGCTGCAGCCAGAAGTTCTCACCAGCGCCGCTCCTGAACCACCGAAGCTGAGCTACGCCGCAGCTACCCGACGACCACCGCCCCCTGCTCACCCGTATACGGCGCCACCTCGACGTGAACCTCTAGCGCCGCAGTATTCACGACGCCATGAAGATCGGGCGTACGTCCGCCCAGAACAAGCTGCTCCACGAAAGACCGACGTGTGGAGGACGGCCGATCGACGCCCGTTGTGCTACCACTGCGGGGAGGCCGACCATATCTACCGTCGTTGTCCCTACCGGCAAATGGGCCTGCGTGGGTTCCACCCGAACGACCCACGCCCGAGGTACGGCGAACGCCCTCACGACATCGAGGAGTACCTCCGACGTTCCCCCTCCCCAGTGTCGGCACTCCGCCGTGAAGCCCGCTCCCCATCGCCACGACGTTCACCCTCCCCAGCGCCACGATCCCGCCGAGAGAGCCTGTCTCCCCTGCGTCGTCGGGAAAACTGAGTGCGGCAACGCCTGGAGGTGACGTTGCCGAAAACGACGGAAGCAAACAGCCTCCAAGAACGCCGGAGCGCTCCCACTCTCTCGACGCCCCGCATTGCACCGACGCGCCTGCAACGGTGTCCAACAACCTAAACGTTGTTATCGATGGCCAAAACGCATCGGCACTCGTTGACACCGGGGCAGACTACTCAGTATTGAGTGGGAGGCTCTCTCGCCACCTTCGAAAAGTCACGACGCCGTGGGATGGACCGCAGATACGAACCGCCGGAGGACACCTCATCACGCCTGTCGGAAGGTGCACCGCTCGCGTCGAAATTCACGGCGAGACGTGTCCTGTGAAATTCGTCATTCTACAAGACTGTTCCAGAGACGTCATTCTCGGCATGGACTTTTTGTGTGAATACGGCGCCGTCATCGACCTTGGAGAAAACAGATTGACGCTGCGGACACCTGTTCCGCCTTCAGAGAAACTCCAAACTGCGTCAGCCGCCGTCCGAGTCGCTGCCGACCACGTGAATCTGCCGCCGCGATCAAGTGTTGTCGTACCTGTCGTGACCGATGCAGCTACCCGTAGCGAAGTTCTTCTGGAAGGTAACCTCCAGTTGCTCCTGGGAAGAGGAATAGGCGTCGCACGAGGAGTAGCTGAACTTCAGGATGGCCGCACTGTGGTCCTCGTGACGAACTTCCGGAATGAAACGCAACACCTCACGAAAGGTGCAGCCGTTGGCCACGTCGAGGATCTCCGAAACTCCGCCGAAATCGCCGCCATTACTGATGAATCCTCGCCACCTCAGCAAGACGGTACGTCGCCAGCGCAACTCGACATCGACCCTAAGCTTCCGGACCCAAAACGACGGCAGCTGATGAACCTCCTCGCCGAATACCGTGACTGCTTTGCGACGTCGTCGAAGGTGCGCCAAACAGCCGTTGCGAAGCACCGCATCATTACCGAGGACGACGCGCGCCCTGTGCATCGATCACCGTACAGAGTCTCCGTTAAAGAAAGGGAGGTGATCCAGGAGCAAGTTCAAGAGATGCTGAACGACGACATAATCCAGCCATCAAGCAGTCCGTGGGCCTCTCCAGTCGTACTAGTTAAGAAGAAGGACGGAACGCTTCGGTTCTGCGTGGACTACCGGCAGCTGAACGCGGTGACGAAGAAAGACGTCTACCCACTCCCGCGAATCGACGACACGTTAGACCGGCTGCGCCACTCTCGATACTTCTCATCGATGGACCTGAAGAGCGGCTACTGGCAGATCGAAGTCGACGAACGGGACCGAGAGAAGACAGCTTTCGTCACGCCAGATGGGCTGTACGAGTTCAAGGTAATGCCCTTCGGACTATGTACGGCGCCAGCAACTTTCCAGCGTGTTATGGACACCGTACTGGCAGGACTGAAGTGGCAGAGCTGTCTGGTCTACCTCGATGACGTCGTGGTGTTTTCCAGCGACTTCGACGAGCACTTGCGACGACTCCGAGCTGTTCTTCAAGCCATACGGACCGCTGGACTCACCCTCAAGCCGTCAAAGTGTCGGTTCGCCTATGACGAACTGAAGTTTCTAGGTCACGTGGTTAGCAACAAAGGCGTGCGCCCAGACCCTGAGAAGACTCGCGCCGTCGCGTCATTTCCAGTGCCGACAGACAAAAAGGCCGTGCGAAGATTCCTCGGACTTTGCGCCTACTATCGTCGCTTCGTTCGGGATTTCGCACGGATTTCCGCACCGCTCACAAACCTCACGAAGGACGCCGAGAGGTTCGAATGGGCCGAGGAACAGCAGCAGGCATTCGACGAGCTGAAGCGACGACTCCAGACGCCTCCGGTTCTTGGACATTTCGATCAGGATGCGGACACCGAGATTCACACTGACGCAAGTAACGCAGGACTTGGCGCGGTACTAGTTCAAGTACAAGAAGGCACCGAACGAGTCATCGCCTACGCAAGTCGGACACTGTCCAAGGCAGAGAGAAATTACTCCACGACTGAGAAAGAATGCCTTGCGGTCGTCTGGGCAATCACGAAGTTTCGTCCGTACTTGTACGGAAGCCCTTTCCGCGTAGTCACGGACCACCACTCGCTCTGCTGGCTTGCGAACCTCAAGGACCCGTCAGGACGCCTCGCTCGATGGAGCCTCCGGCTACAAGAGTTCAACATGACTGTGGTTTACAAGTCAGGACACAAGCACAGCGACGCTGACTGCCTGTCCAGGGCCCCTGTCGAAACACCTTCCGGCAGCAGCGACGACGATGATGACGAGTGCTTTCTAGGGGCAGTGAACACCGATGACATGGCACGACGTCAACGAGACGATCCGGAGCTGCGAGCCTTAATCGAGCACCTGGAAGGGCGCGGCGGTACCGTACCCCGTATTTTCTCACGAGCCGTGTCGACCTTCGCCATTCGACAAGGTGTACTCTACAAAGAGAACTTCGGGGACAACAACTCGCCGTGGCTGCTGGTAATCCCGACCGACCTTCGAGGGGAGATCTTTCAAGCATGTCACGACGACCCGACATCCGGACACCTTGGATACAGCCGGACACTGGCCCGTATTCGTGAAAAGTATTACTGGCCCAAGCTCCCCAAGACCGTCCACCTGTACACACGATCATGCCACGAGTGCCAGCGACGCAAGAAACCTCCGACGAGGCCGGCCGGACTCCTGCAGCCTATTTCTCCTCCAACTGCACCCTTCCAGCAGATCGGAATGGATCTACTTGGTCCTTTTCCGCCTTCGACGTCGGGGAACCGCTGGATCATCGTCGCCACAGATTATCTCACGCGGTACGCCGAAACGAAAGCTCTTCCTTCGGGGACTGCTGTGGAAGTTGCCAAGTTTTTCATTGAGTCCATCGTCCTCCGGCACGGCGCTCCAGAAGTTCTGATTACAGATCGCGGATCATCGTTCATGGCACAACTGACCCAAGAAATCCTCCGACTCAGTCACACCAGCCATCGTCGTACAACTGCGTACCACCCGCAGACCAACGGGCTGACGGAGCGACTCAACAAGACAATCGCCGATATGATCTCTATGTACGTCGACGTAGAGCACAAGACGTGGGACGAGGTGCTCCCCTACGTCACGTTCGCCTACAATACGGCGGTTCAAGAGACCACTGGATTCACCCCTTTCCAGCTGGTACATGGTCGGAAGGTAACGACCATGCTGGACGCCATGCTGCCCCATGAGCCATCTGACAGCGAGAGCGACGACGCCCAGGCGGTTGCTCAACGCGCCGAAGAAGTTCGCCAGCTCGCCCTGTTGCGTTATTCAACTGCCACCCTCCAGCACCGCTCGTGCCGAGTACAACTCTGAAGTCCCATACGCACCAGGTTTTCTTTTGCCCGGCTACCGTACCCGCGCTCGTAGTGCCCTCTGGACACCACATCTTTCCCCTCCTTTTTAAACAAACATACCCAGTTGGTAACATCCGGCCATTAACAGTAAATAGTTTAGAAAAGTCCGTCGCTTTTTTTTTTTTTTTTTTTTTCATTCTTCTATTAGCCTTCGAGGCTTGCGCCGATCTCGCACGGGATACCGTCGCTCTCCGTCACTATTATCTGCATCCACGAGCGTCTCAGCATCCTGGGTGTTGCTTCTTGGCCTCGGGACTTCGGATGGTGCAGGCAAAGAGGCCTGTGAAAGGCATCTGTCGCCTGCGCTGTCTTCCGGTGTGCTGTCTGTCCAAGCCGTGGCAGACACCCCTCCCGCTTCGTCTGGACGAGACTCTGAAGGTCCGGAGTCTTGCGACGGTGCTCGGAGCAACTGGTCCTGATGCCTTCGCCATACCCGTCCCGGGGAGACTTGCACTTGGAAAGACACTGGACCAGTTTGGGCAGCGACCGTTCCTGGCTGCCACTTGTGACCACTTCGATAATCTCTGGCATAGACTTGGTCTCCTGCCGTGAAAGCCCGCTCTTGTCCTGGGTGTTGCCGCTGTTGGCGGTAGTGTGCGCTGGCCACACAGTCTGCAACTGATGGTTTCAGGAGGTCCAGTCTGGTGCGAAGATGCCGCTGTAGCATCAACTGGGCCGGCGACTCTCTTGTTGTCGGGTGCCGGGTGTTCCTGTACGATAGAAGAAAACGTGACAACCTTGTACGGAGGGGATGGCTCGAAGTTGTTTTCCGCAGATAGTTTTTCATGGTCTGAATAAACCGCTCAGCTAGTCCATTCGTAGCGGGATGGTATGGTGCAGACGTGACCTGGGCGATACCATTGTTCCTTAAGAAAGTTTGAAATTCCTCCGACACAAACTGAGGCCCATTGTCAGAAACCATGGTTGTGGGCAGACCAAACCGTGCGAAGCAATCTTGTACACACTGGATTATGACCTTCGACGTCGTAGACTCCAAGACAAACACCTCTGGCCATTTGGAGTGAGCATCCACGAGCACGAGGAACATTTTACCCATGAAAGGTCCCGCCAGATCCACATGCAGTCTCTCCCATGGACGTGTCGGCCATGCCCAAGGGTGCAGGGGAGCAGCGGACGGATTGTTTCGGTGCAGCTGACACATGGTACACCCTCCAATTTCCCTCTCAATGTCTTTATCCAGGGATGCCCACCAAACATAGCTCCTAGCCATTTCCTTAGTGCGTACGACGCCATAATGGTCCCCATGAAGTTCTTCTAGGACCCTTTTCTGCAGGGTCTTCGGAATCACCACTCGTAAACCCCACATGAGGCATCCTTGGTGGAGTGACAGCTCATTGCGGCGTACGTGGAAGGGTGCATACTCTGGATCGGTTGGCTTGCGTTCTGAGCCCCAACCATGCTTTACTCTTTCCACGATCTGACTTAGGAGGGGGTCTCTGGGTGTCGCCCGTGCAATGTCTTTACATCTAAGAGGTACATTGTCGAAGTACTCACAGTAGAAGGCGAACGTTTCGTCGACGGCGTCTGTGTTGGGGTTGTCCGTTGCTTTTGGGAGTCTTGACAAGCAGTCTGCATTGGCATTTCCCTCGGAAGACCGGTGGACGATGGTGTAGCGGTGTGCGGCTAGCTGACAGGCCCACCTCTGGAGCCTCGCTGCTGTCATTGTAGGGATCCCGGTCGTTGGGCCTAGGATTTTCTGTAAGGGAGCGTGGTCAGTGATCAGCGTGAAGTGATAGCCATACAAATAGTAGTGGAATCTTCTTATTCCAAAGATGATAGCTAGGCCTTCTTTTTCTAACTGAGAATAATTCTTCTCGTGCTCAGTCAGGGTCCTAGAAGCAAAAGCAACTGGCCGCTCTGTTCCATCTTCAAACGCATGGGACAGGACTGCCCCTACTCCATACGCCGATGCATCGCATGCCAGTATAATGGGTCGACGCGGGTCAAAATATGTCAGGACAGGTGCCGACGTCACCAGCTTCTTAAGCGAATCAAAGGAGTCCTGACAGTCTGTGCTCCATTCCCATGCAGCCTTCTTCTGCAGTAGACGATTCAGAGGATACACGGTAGTTGCTAAGTTCGGTAGAAATTTGCCATAGTAGTTAGCAAGCCCAAGGAATGAACGCAACTCTGCCTTGTTCTTGGGAGTGGGCGCATCTCGAAGTGCTGCTGCTTTATCCTCCATGGTTCGTAGACCATCCCGACTAATCACATGCCCGAGGTAGGCAACTTCCGTTTGGAAGAATTTGCACTTCTCTTTCTGAAGACGCATACCCTTTTCTTGTAATCGTGTTAAGACTGCTTTCAAGTTTTCAAAATGCTCACCCTTCGTTCTGCCAGTCACCAGGATGTCGTCCAGGTAGCAGGTGGTCTGCGGCAGCCCTTGAAGCACTTGATCCATAGTTCTTTGAAAAATGGAGGGTGCAGATGCTATGCCGAAGGGAAGACGGTTCACTTGGAACAGCCCCAACTGGGTGTTGATGGTGAGGTACTTCCGCGCTGCAGGATGCATCTCCAGCTGTAGGTAGGCTTTTGACAGGTCCAGCTTTGAGAAAAACTTCCCTCCTGCCAGCGTTGCAAACATCTCTTCTATCCTGGGGAGCGGATAGTTGTCGACCTCCAAGCACGGGTTGATTGTTGACTTGTAGTCGCCGCAGATTCTTATGTCTCCATTCTTTTTGACGACCGGCACGATGGGCGATGCAAACTCGCTGCTGTCCACCGGGGTCAGGATCCCCGCCTCCTTCAGTGCCATCAGTTCTTTAGAGACAGCTTTCTTCAGGGCGTGGGGCACTGGTCTTGGCTTGAGGAACTTTGGAGTGTGCCCACCCTTCAGCTTGAGGTGAGCTTCAAACCCCTGAAGACGGCCCAGATCGTCTGAGAACACCTGAGCAAAGTCCTTCAAAAGCGTGTCGACTTGTTCCTTGCTCCCCTTCTCCAAGCACTGGACAGCCTTGATGCTTGTCCAGTCGAGCCTCAGCACCTCCAGCCAGTCACGTCCCAAAAGCGGGGGACCCTTGAAGTCCACAATCTGCAGCGGTAACTTGTGAACCTGGTCTTGGTACTCCACTTCAACCTGTGCCTCTCCTACCGGCTTCACCTTTTTACCGGTAAATGCTCGAAGGACGACTCCACTTCTTCCCTTCACTAGATTGGGAAACCTTGTCTTGTACAGGTCTAACGGGAGTACCGACACCGCCGCCCCGGTGTCTACTTCCATCGTCAGCGGAATCGTGTTCACCTTCACTGTTACTTGCAGAGGCCGCGGACGTGTCCCCCGAAGCTCGAACATCTCGACCTCGTCTTCCGTGTCGACGTTCAGCGTCTTGACTTTTTCCCCTTGATTCCTCCGGCCTCGTGTCGGTGCTCCGCGATGCTGAGAAGCTGCTGGCCCGGACTGCTGGCTCCTGCACACTCGTTCAAGGTGTCCGCGTCTTCCGCACCTACGACAGTCTAAGCCTTTCCACCTGCAGTTAATTGCTGTGTGATTCGTAAGTCCGCAGTGCTTGCATTCGGACTTGTCCTGGTCCACCTTAAGCACCTCGGCGTCCGCGCTCCGGCAATGTAAAACTTGTGCGTTCGCGGAGGCGGCTTCCATCGCCACTGCGATTTCTAGCGCCTTCTTAAATGTCAGGCCAGCTTCCGACAACAGTCGCTTTTGAATGGAGTCGCTGATAATGCCGCATACCATGCGGTCACGTAAGGCTTCGTTCAAAGTGCCGCCGAATTCACATGTCTGCGCCAACTTTTTCAGCTCGGCTACGTACTCGAGGATACTTTCATTCTCGTTTTGGTTTCTTTTGTGAAAACGGAAGCGTTCCGCGATGACAAGAGGCTTCGGCGACAGGTGCTCTCGCAATATGGCTACCAGCTCGATGTACGACTTGCTAGCCGGGATGTCCGGCGCCACCAAACTCTTTAGCAGAGCGTACGTCTTCGCGCCAATGAGGCTTAGGAACGCTGCCACTTGCCTTTCTGGTTTGACGTCGTTTGCGACGAAAAACTGGTCGAGTCGCTCGATGTAGGTTGGCCAGTCCGTGCCCGCTTCGTCGAATGGTTCAATTCGACCGAGGGTCGCCATGGCGTCGCGGCGTCACCGGGGAGTAGTGCGGCGGGCGACTCTTCGACGGGGCTCGCGTGGCTGGGCGCTCGTCGCCAGTTGTTGCGTTTTTGAAGACCTTTATTCAACTGCCACCCTCCAGCACCGCTCGTGCCGAGTACAACTCTGAAGTCCCATACGCACCAGGTTTTCTTTTGCCCGGCTACCGTACCCGCGCTCGTAGTGCCCTCTGGACACCACACGCCCGACTCCTGATTCAAGACCAGCAACGCGTCGACGCCGGCCGCTACAACCTTCGTCGCAGGGACGTCCACTTCCAGCCCGGAGAATAGGGTGTGGGTATGGACGCCCATCCGTCGCCGCGGCCTCAGTGAGAAACTGCTGAAACGGTACTTTGGACCATACAAGGTACTTCGTCGCCTCGGCGAGCTGAACTACGAGGTGATGCCCGACGGAACACGAACATCGTCACGCCGCCCACCACGACCTGAGGTCGTCCACGTCGTGCGCCTCAAGCCGTACTACGCTCGATAGGACTGTGGACCTTTTGTGCTCCAAAAGACTCTTTAGTTTATCGTTCTTTTTTATTTTGATTTGTTTTACACTGCATCGGGGCGATGCACTTTTAAAGGGGGGGAGTAATGCCGCGCGCAAGGCTGAGAAAGCAACGCTCGGTTACGGTCCTCCAGAAAGTTCCCGTTTATTCATGTACCGCACGTAACTTCTATCATTTATCCCTGCTTTTGTTTTCTAGAAAGTGCGTGTTCATTCTCGCCCCGATCACGCGACGCTCGAACCGCTTTCGCCGAATCTTCGAGATAGCGGCGCACTTTAGATAAGAGGCCGCCCGCGACCTTGTCGAGTCAGTCTCGCCCCAGCGCTCGATTCTGCTGACACGCCGACTTCGACGCCCGCGACGCTCTGCTTTCTTCTGTTTCCTTCTTTATTTTTGGCACAAGTTCGCCACATTAAACGTTTATTTATTTCTGTTTATTTCTTGTTTATTGGTCACGACTCACCACCCGTGACAATATCAACGAAAGAATATACTGTGTAGGTACCTCAACTTTTTAGAGCATCTGTCACATTCGGGGAGTCCTCTACGTCAAACCCGTTTAGATTTAGCGGAGTGCATTGTAGCTGTGTTAAACACATGACAACACATATTGATGCGTAACCAACTATCACGTCTATCCGCGAGTTCATTAAAAATATATATTTTATAAGTTGCCCAAACGACATATAAATGTCTTTCGAGTTGGCTATGGCATTAATATAAATTTCCACTTTCATTTTAATTAACTTTTCCCCAGGCTGCAGATACCATCTGTCCTACGGCCCTGTGTTCCGTAGTGGTGGCCACCCCTAGGCGCTGAAGTCCGAAAATCTTCAGGAGCTCACTTGCCACGCGAGCCTGTAAGAGTGAAAAATGGCATCCCGGTCCTTTCAAGTCCACAGTTCTTCTCTCGACAAAATAATGGTCTAATCATAAAGCAGTGGACCTATGAGGGGACCCAAAAGTAACCGGGATGAATTAATGGAGGGATGGCCCATGGCATCAGAGATCCTCGGGATCTCGGAGGCCATGGATGGCCGTTCGTAGTGCCAGCTTCCGCCGCTAGCAGCGCTTAGCGGAACTCCCTCCTAGAGTTGGGAGCCCCTCTATTTATTTGTCCGTTTCAGCCACCAGATGGCGCGCGGCTCGAAACGTGGTTGAACGCGCAACTTCTAGATGGCGCCAGTATTGAGGTGTGAAAAGGCCCGCGTTATCCGCTGCGTGAAATAGATCCCGAAATGTGCCGTGTTCTCCCGGCGGAGGAAGTTTCTCCCTCCCTCGCGCGCGCTTGGTATGTACAGTTGCAACGGAAAAAGAGTAGCACAAGTGACCGACGACGGGAACGGCAAAATCGCGACACGCGGCGCTCTTGTTCCCGAGCGCGCCGATAGCGAGAGTGACAGTCACGTTCCATGTCTCAACGCGGGGGCGGCCGTTAGCAAGCAGCTTATTTTAAAGCCTGCATTTTAAAAGCTATCTTATCCCTCAACTTTCTGCCGGCCACCCCCACAGTGAAAAATGCAACATGACTTGCACTCTCGCTATCGGCGAGCTCGGGAACAATAGCGCCGCGTGTCGCAATTTTGCCGTTCCGGTTATCGGTCTCTTGTGCTACTCTTTTTCCTTTGCAGCTGTACGCGCGGTGGCCGAGTCCGGCCTCTGCGCTGCGTGATGCAGTGGGTGGCGCTCGTTTCTGTTCGGAGGTAGGAATAAAAATGCCGGTCCCCTTTTTTACGACGCTCGTTTCTATAGCTTGTTTTTCTTTTTTTATCTCGAGTGACCTACAGTACCGCCTGTTCGAAATCGTCCTTTGCGGTGAGCGATTGAGAGTCAGGTTAGCATTTCATTTGGGTCAGCACTACACGTTCAATGGAGACCTCGGGCGGCGATGTAAATATGCATTGCTCCCCAAAGTCTGTCCAAGGTGCGCAATGACAATTGGAAAGGGTATTGAAGGCGCGCGACCGTCGGTTGGTAAAATACGTGCGTTAGATTCACTTAGTCTAATCATTTTTGCCAACGTCTTTTATCTGTTTCGACAAATGACATGGTCGAGTCTATTGATAACCTTAGCTAGATTGGACGTACGGAGTGTCCGGGCTTTAAATAAATTTGCTTCGTTTATGTGAATGAATATCTGTTTTCTCTTTTCCGTGCTCGGTGCTATGCAAAAATCGCTGAGATGTTATGGTAGCTCAGTGTGGCGGCGTTTTGCACGCTGACTCGCTATTGCATTCACTGTGCACAATATGTGTTCCGATGGAATGTGCCAAATCGTATTTCCGATCGATATGATAGATTTACTTTGCTACAGTGTTAATTACATTTTCCTGATTTAAACTGGTTCGTCCCTGATCTGAGCCTAAGTTCAAATTCGAAGGGCAGACAGACTTAGCGTCGTAACAGCCGTAATGCGCAGAAAGAAATTAGTACCATGAAAGAAAAACGAAAGGATACGAGGTGGCTCAGTGTTATAGAAGTAATGAGTGTGCAAAGGATGCCATCGTACGTGTTTTTTTTTTTGTTTTTTTTTAACTTTCCGCATTGTTGGGAAACGCTCAAGGTACCAGCAAAGACAGCGAGCTGGCGTGAAATTTCCATCGAGCGGAAAAAGAGTGTCATTTTTATTTCATCGTGCGCTTTCATTTTGATACGGCTCAAAATGGGCGCGAAATAGTAACAGGTAAGGCAACAAAATTTAGATGTTAGGTCAAGCACCGCCATACTCAGCCGTGTTGGAGGCATTTCTCGCGAGTCAATACGGCAAAGGTATTGCGCGTCGAACTGTACGTGAGAGTTATCCATTTCAGCGAAACCTTGATTTCGCAAAACTATTGTGGCTCGAGTCGTGGCTTCCAGTACTTGGAAGCCACGAGCGAGAAATAAATGACAGTTGATTCTGAAGGACAATCGCGACGTGGAAACCCATAAAAGAGAGTTCCAATAAGACGAGAGCTTCCCCTTCTCTTCAAGTGCGTGGGTTACGCTCTCAATCCTGCACCTGTGGTAACACTGCAGGCTCCTAAAATCGCTTTGAAAACGTTCCTAATCGCAACAACTTTTTTTTTTTTTTTTTTTGTCGAGGCGCTATTTTATTTTTTTTTCTTTTCGTCTACCTTGATACCCCATCAGCGCAAAAACTACC